TCCAGCGTGTTCTTCGCGACACGTATTCACGATCGGTGAATGGAAATTAAACGGATTAGGGTACATTCGAGAGTCTTGGGGTGTTTCTTTCGAAAACCTGTATTCAGTGGGATTCTTCTGAATACGTTGATTTCTGCCAGAGCAAGATCTCATTAGCGGTGACGTTAGGTTACCTGAGTTCCTTGATCGATTTGATACGAGGTTTTTCATTTTCTTTTCGTTTCTCTCTTGTCGGATGACCAGATTAGAGGTAAAAATACGACACTTCCATTAGAAACGTGTAACATTGGTCAGACGAATAATCTTCTTCGAACAGTTGAAGTAACATTCTAAAGACTTGTGTCGATTAATCAAAATGTTCTCTGCGATTTATACAAGCGTAGTTTATCTAGGAATAATTAGCCGATACTCTCGTAAGAACGCAACGACGCGTTCAATATTCGTTCGTTATTTTTTTTCTCTTTTTTAATTTTTCTCTACTCTGACCAGTTTTATGCTCACTTTCCAAGTCGACGAACAATAAAGACCTCGCTGAGAAAAAAAAAAGCGACACGACTGAATCCCGTTAAAAAATTCGTATTAGATATTGCTCGTGATCATCGTGACTTGCCTTGTGGAAAAAAAAAAAAACGTTGAACGATATTTCGACCAAGAAGCGCGTTAAATTAGCATACCGTTATTTCCCCCCCGTATTCGAACGGATCCTAAACGCGGATCGAAAGCGCACTCGAACGAGTAGATAAGAAAGAGGAATCGTCGGAACAAAGAAAGAAAAAAGTAGACAAATACGAAAAAAATGCCTTCTCAGAGAGCACGCAGAATACGATTTAATAGGCGTACAGGTAAACAAAACGCAGAATACGTACGTACATGTAAATACACATATTGATAGAAAAAGAAGCAGAAAACACAAAAGAAAGAAGAGGGAAGGAAAACACAGTAGCCGTACATGATAAGTTATATCGTTTAGAAATAGGCTCGATAAAATAGACTGGTCCGTCGATTGTCGCCGACGTTTAACGGAAAAGAAGTTGAGGAAGGAAAGATTCATCGTGATATTTTCAAACGTCTTCGAGTTTCCAAAAAGAAGAAAGAAAGAAAGCAAGAAGCTAACACAGATAGGGCAGAACTTCGCTCGATCCGAAAGAGAAAAGCACAGAAAAAAATGAATCTCTCGTTCTTTCGAAAACCATGTAACTGACTGACGTTTCGAGTTAGCGACCGGTTAGCTTCGTTTTGGCTAAAGAGACGAAAGAGGAAGAAGATGGGAGGTAGAAAGAAAAATCGGCTGAAAGCGAGCGAACAACGTTGTTTCCAGCCGGATTGAATACGCTACACGCGTCCCCGGGGTAAATTGATGGGAAAATAATGGAAATTTCTATTCCATGGACGTGCTTGCAACCAGCCAGAAGAATATACATGTATGTATGTATGTATACATATATCTATTTTTTATTCAACGAACGATCGTATAAAACGAAACGACTGGAAAAGCAGCGAGCGTGATCGATTGAGCGTGGCTAAAAGAAACGTTCATTGCTTTCCCGCCAATTTACCATTTATCCGCACACCCGTGGTACCATATATCACCTGATACAGAATAAACAACTATTCGCTGACGAAGGAATGTGGAACAGAGAGAAATTTAGACACGCGACAGAAACAGGAGTAGAAGAGGGAGAGAGAGAGAGAGGGGGAGAAAGGATATTTTATCTCGTCGATACTGTTGATAAGTATAAATACTCGGGGGCCTCGTTCTACACGAACTTAAAAGCTACTAATGGCCGCCGTTGACTTAATGATGACAATATTATTACCTGTAGATATACATATACATATATATATTACGCGTACTATTCTTTCATACTAAGTACCTATTGTATAATATAAAATCGATTATTATTGTACATTGTATACATATATACCTGTACCGGAACACACTTATATAGAGAACAGTCAGCTAAACTTACACGGATACAAACTTTGCGACAATATTACGATATTTAAAGAAACCATTGCCAAAATCTCGCGAGACACGCGTGTACGCATGTAGATACAACTTGGGAAACGAGGAGAAGCTTGATCCTTTTGTAACGCCGATGACAGTCGTGTGTATTCTCGTTTGAGCGAGATGCTCTTCCTTTTTCTGGAGTACGAGATGAACGTATTTCGTGTGCAGAGATGAGGAGTTATGGTTTCTCTGATAATCGTGGAAAGGGGACACGTTTTGCTATTGCTGGGTGAGAAGATCGAGGAATCGGGTGAAGTGGGATTGGAAATGGTTAGGTGGAGAAGATGGAGAAGAGTGTGAGAATTTTGTGATGAAATTGTTGCGATTTCGTGAAGAATTCAAGGGGGTGTGGAGGTTTTTGTGGTAACGGTGAAATTGACGAGTCGCGATCGGATTTTTCTTCTAATTTAAAGGAAGCTCTAGATTTAACGGGAAATATTCGTGGCGGTGGATTGGAAGAAGCGAGGTACTCGCGAGACAGCTTATGCGTGTGTTTGTAGTATCGCGAAAAATTTTCGCTGTGGTTGCGAATTTGGTAACGATCCTTTTTTTAGGCGGATTTAATTTCGCTCTTCGAGTATTTTTTCCGCTGCCGCTCTTTAAATTCGCGATGTACAAGCGCAGTGACAAAGGCAGAAAAGGAGGACGGTAAATCGCAGGAAATCTTGCGAATATTCCGCGAAAATTTCGCGTTAGTTTGGGGGTTCCGAAACTCGCGACGAAAAAGCAACGACAAACGTAGAAAAAAAAAAGATACCGAATCACAGAAATCAATGTGAAATCTCGCGAATATTTCGCGAAATTTATGCGAATATTTCGCATTAATCTGGAAACTCCTTAAATTGGCGAAACGAAAATAATAACAGACTTAGAAAAAGAAGACTCTGAATCTCACAGATTAATGTGAAACCTCGCGAATATTTCGCGAAATTTATGCGAATATTTCGCATTAATCTGGAAACTCCTTAAATTGGCGAAACGAAAATAACAACAGACTTAGAAAAAGAAGACTCTGAATCTCACAGATTAATGTGAAACCTCGCGAATATTTCGCGAAATCTCTGCGAATATTTCGCGTTGCTCTTGGGGTACCTTAAACTCGCGACGAAAAAGCAACGACAAACGTAGAAAAAAAAGATACCGAATCTCACAAGTCGGTGAAAAATCATGCAAAAATTCCGCGAAATCTTTGCAAATATTTCCCAATAATCTGGGGACTCCTTAAATTCGCGACGTAAAAATGATAAGAAACTTACAAAAAAGAGATCAGTGAGAAATCTCGCGAAATCTCGCATTGCTCCGTGTCTTCCTCCAAACGGTGCAAGCAAGCTACTCTCGCCCTCGTCTTCTCATCTCCGCACAATACCGCGTACGCTTCCGTTCAATCGAGAATTCGGCTGCTATCGGCGATGAATTTTTTTACGAGTTTCGTGGTAAATGTTGGGTATAATGTAACATTCGTGCAATGATACCATCCAATCTCGAGTCAGAGAGAAAGTGGTATACTATACCGAGTCTCTTAATCGAGAAGGTATTACGAGAAACGGCATTTGTATTTTGTATTTTTATATAGTTTGTAGAACTCGTCAGCGTCGACTTTGCAGAAACGATGTCTGCATCTGTGATCGAACGCCTAGTCTTCACGGATGAAAATATTTCTCGCCAATTTCATTCAATTAACCCTTTACTTTTCGCGTAACGAATTGTCCAATCGAAGAAGTTTCAAATTCTTGGAATATTTCTTTCGTAAAGTGATCGTCGTTCCCTTTAAGTAACGACATAGATATATTTCACGAATTCCAATTAAGATGTTCAATTCCAAGTACATCAAAC